AAATTCTAGTCTGCTATTGTTGTCAAATCTTAATCTTGTACATGATAGTCTCACAATATCATAGAATATTTTAACCGATTCTCCTGATCACTATTGAGTAATTAACTTGTCTGGCGTTAACTAAGAAACAATCCGACAAGAATGACACTAGGTAAGACAAAAATAAACACACTGAACAAGCTATTATTCTGCTTATTGCAAGCTATATCACTGTTCATACGGTTTTGTTTATTTATTTATTTGTTAATAAGCACAAAGCTACATAATGGGCTATCTATGCTATACTCATCGTGGGTATCGAAACCTGATTTTTAGCATTACAAGTCCTCAAACTTATAGCTGAGCCACAGGAGGGAGAGACCCCCACGCTTTCGAACGAATGTCTAATATTATTTGTCTATATAAACACAGTTTGTTTTACAGAGCTTATGCAACCAAGTGAATAATATATTTTCAAAAGATTATACAAACTTGTAAGATCACATCTTAATGGCCAAGTGATTAGAGCGCTCGACTCGGACCGCCATAACCACCTGGCCATGCCGGGCCCAGATCAAAAGTAAATGGATTTCCCGAAACCAGGCTTCAAAATTGGTTGCGCAATATTAAGTTAATATTTGTTTGTTAAATTTCGCGCAAAACTATTCGAGAAATATCTGCGTAGCCGTCTCTAATTTAGAAGTGATAGACTACAGGAAAGGTAATTAATCAACACCACCCACTGTCAACTGTTGGGATACTCTTTTTACCGACTATATGTGGGACTGACCGTCTACACCACTTAAAGGATGAGCATATTCGGTGATTGGATTCGAACCCGCGACCCAAAGATTGCGATTTGAACACCCTAACCGCTAGGTTATGGCAGGCTATTAATTTGATGATATGGTTGCTTAGTTTAAGGAGTAGTAAACTACATATATATAATACTTCCTTATGTCTCCAGAAACAGGTAATTATGCACGAGGTTGGCCACGCCCTTGGCTTCCACCACGAACAGTCGAGAAGTGATCGAGACAACCATGTTGTTCTTTTCTTGGAAAACGTGGATCCTGACATGAGATTCAACTTTAAAAAAGAGCGAGACAACAACTACTCTGTGGAGTACGACTATACGTCTCTCATGCACTACCAACTCGATGTAAGTTGATTTAAGTAAAAGTCGATAATAACTATTGGACGAAGTGCTTGTATTAGTCTTAACACCTATTTGTTTTTCACTTAAGTTTTTGCACGATATTTATGTTTAAGGCCTCTGAAGTCCAACTATTATGCAAAGGAAAATAAAGTAGAGAAAACAACGTAAGACTTCTTTCTGAAGTTAAATCTCTTCAGTCAAAAAACATCTGCAACTTTGGTTTAAAATAGAATTAAAACCATCCCGCTCTTTTTTGAAGAAAAAAAGGTTTAAGTTTCGGTATGAATACTACCAATCTATTGAACTGGCGTCGCCAGCATTTTTATATGAGGGCTGTTTCTAAAATCAATAATCATATAGGCCTAAGTAGGCCGCGAGTCAGTAACAGTCCATTAAATAGTCCAGAACAAGGTTCGTGTCAGATTGAAGAAACACATTCGCAAACGAAAGAGGTTATGAATATAAAATTATAAAGCCATGTTCAGCAGTTTTGAAGTTGTTGATTTAATTTTCCGATTGCGAACGACCTTCGACCTCTGGCGACATTCAAGTCCTGTATAGAAACCAAATTTTAATACAAATACATTTGGTGGGCTCCTTGTAACGATATCAAGCGTTTATGGTTACGAAACGAGATCCATTAGACACGATGAAAATTCCCAGGTGACGACAGCTTGTAGTTTATATATTTTCTGTCTCACTAATGAAAATCTTGATAAAATTTTACTTCTATTTTCATTTACGTTGTGTGTCTCATATGTAGGTGTCGCCAGGAGTTTCTAAGGAGAGCGAAGTTTGTTTGTGTTCATAGTGCATTTTTCTTATTAACAAGTATTTCTGAGAGAAAGTAAAAAAAAAAAAGGCGTTGAATTACACACGTTACGACAAGCATCCAATGTTGACCAAGTTATGTTGAAATAAATTAATACTAACTTCCGATCGGAGCAAGTTATGTGCTTAGATTATAGCTAATTAATTGTGTCCTTCTTAAGTTTATATATTTTACTGTGTAAAGCTTTGGGCCTGACTGATGTAGTTTTGTTATTCGTTCGCACTTATAGGGATATAGCATAGATCCATTTGAAGTTCGGACTCTGATGCCCAAAAATCCACTTGATGCTTATCTGATTACAGAGAAGAGCGGGCTCAGTTTCCGCGACATAAAATTAGCAAATCTGATGTACAAATGTGGCAGTAAGTATCCCTTGGATATAAACAAAGCAACTTTTAGTGACATGGCAGTAAGTATTCCTTGGCTATAAACAAAGTAACTTTTAGTGACATGGCAAGGAATACTTACTCTTACTGCCATGTCATTAAAGTTGCTTTGTTTATATCCAAGGAATATATACTGCCATGTCACTAAAAGTTGCTTTGTTTATGTCCAAGGAATACTTACTGCCATGTCACTAAAAGGTGTTTTATTTATGTCCAAGGAATACGTACTGCCATGTTACTAAAAGTTGCTTTGTTTATATCCGTTTATATCCAAGGAATAAAAGCAACTTTTAGTGACATGGCAGTAAGTATTCCTTGGATATAAACAAAGCAACTTTTAGTGACATGGTTGTAAGTATTACTTGGACATAAACAAAGCAACTTTTAGTAACATGGCAATAAGTATTCCTTGGATATAAAAAAAGCAACTTTTAGTAACATAGCAGTAAGTATTCCTTGGATATAAACAAAACAACTTTTAGTAACATGGCAGTAAGTATTCCTTGGACATAAACAAAGCAACTTTTAGTAACATGGCAGTAAGTATTCCTTGGACATAAACAAAGCAACTTTTAGTGACGTGGCAGTAAGTATTCCTTGGACGTAAATAAAGCAACTTTTAGTGACATGGCAGTAAGTATTCCTCGGACATAAATAAAACACCTTTTAGTGACATGGCAATAAGTATTCCTCGGACATAAACAAAGCAACTTTTAGTGACATGGCAGTAAGTATTCCTTGGACATAAACAAAGCAACTATTAGTGACATGGCAGTTAGAATTCCTTGGACATAAGCAAAGCAACTTTCAATGACATGACAGTAAGTATTCCTTGGACATAAACAAAGCAACTTTTAGTGACATGGCATTAAGCATTACTTGGACATTACTTGTTTAATGTATTACATGTTTGTTAAAACGAGTATAATATTGTTAACACTTTTTACTATTATCTCTATTTATAACGAATATATAACTGAAAAAAGTTTGGTTATTAATTTATTTATTGATCAATTCTAAAGGACAATTATAAAGTAACACAAACGAGTCTTAGTGACTGAAGTTAAAAATAATTTTTGTCATCAAGCTTTTTATGCAAATATTTAAATCATGAAAACTAAGCTTTCGATTTAAATAAATATATAGGTCACTGTCGTAACCAGTTGACTTGCTACCATGGTGGCTACATCGGACCTGATTGTAGCTGTAGGTGTCCTCCAGGCACTAGAGGGCGCCAGTGTGGAAGTAAATTCCAAGATTACTATCGTAAGTTAAATTCATAATGTGCATGATATATACATAAAATGCAAGGTAGAAGACAGCAATATTTTCGTTAACGAAAACGAAAATGTATTGCTTAAACGAAACGAAAACTAAATGTTTCTTCAAAACGATCACGAACGAAAATTAAAAATCCCAAAACGGCAACAAAAGTTTTCGTATTTTCCAAGAATATATTGTTCACGCCAGAAGATGTCAATTGCCAGAGTAATTACTATTAATTAAACACTTAAAATAATTATTCTACAAACAAGTGATTTTGATTTAAAACTCAAAACGGAATGGAAACTATTATTAAATAAGCAAAACGAAATAGAAGCTAAAACTAAAAGTATGTAAACACCAAAACTAAAACTACTATTACGACGCCAAATGAAATCAAAACTAAAGTGTCACTGATGGAAGGAGTCTCCTATTGTACTATTATGTATGATTTTTTTTTTCATTTTCTGACACATCTTTCTGAAAGTAACTATTGTGTAACAAAGCATCGAGTTGTTAGTTTCCGTTTTTCTCTAAATATTAAAATTAGTCTTCGTGCCGCTTAAAGTATAGTTTTCAGCTTCAATTTAAATACAATTTTAAAATAATTGGTGAGAGGTTCTTAACTGATTTTTTTAACTCCTGCTTCGTGGGTAAATGATATTTGGATATGTGAGGGGGTAACGTGCCTCATAAAGAATAGTGGCAAATTCTATCACCTCTAATAAAGTCTTGAATACCAACTCCTTTGGAGATATCAAAGTCACTATAAGCAAAATTTGATCCATTATTTAAACCCTCGAAGATGTCAAAGTCACTATAAGCTGAATTTGATCCATTATTTAAACCCTCGAAGATATCAAAGTCACTATAAGCAGAATTTGATCCATTATTTTACACCCTCGAAGATATCAAAGTCACTATAAGCAGAATTTGATCCATTATTTTACACCCTCGAAGAAAATAAATGTGGGGGGAGAGAACAACTTTGAGTCTATTTAACCTCGGAAAATAAAATAAACACTTAAATAAAGTTGTTTCCTCTTTTGCAAGGTTTTTTATTATTTGTATACAACATTTCCAGCTCTTAAAGTAAACATGGGTGCCCACAGAATTATTTTCAAGGGGAGGCAAAACATGTATGTAAGGGGATCAGCTTTCACAGTGTAAGTCAACAGAATATGTGCTATGTGTGCTTAAACGCAAACAAAAATTTCCAGTTTTAATAAAAATATTTAGCTTAACTACGATGTTAATTTTACCTCATAATACGTGAAATGTTTTTGTGAAATGTAGTGGGGGGGACATATGTTCCCTCTTGCCACTTCCTGCAATAATGTATATGTGTATGTATTTTTTGTTTTAGAGCAAAGCCACATTGAGCTATCTGCTGTGTCTATCTTGGGGAATCGAACCTCGGATTTTAGCGATGTCAGTCCATAAATTTACCGCTGACACACCGGGAGAAAAGGAAGCGTACTTAAATTCGATTTGTTTGTTTGTTTTAGAGCAAAGCCACTGTTTCTACCGCGGAGAATCGAATCCCGGATTTTAGTGTCGTAAATCCGCAAAAATTACCGCTGACCCACTCAAAGGACTATGAGTGTATTGCAAAGTTTCTTTGAATTTTCATAAAAACTGTTGTTTCCAGCTCCCAATGTCTGCGGTGAAATGGTAACGTCCGAACGGATAATCTCGTCCCCAGGATTTCCCGATCAACAGAAAAAAGACACCACGTGTATTTGGTGGATACAGGTATTGCATGAGCAATATTATGTTACACATATTAATATTTGTCTTAACTTGAAAAAATTAAAGTAACTTTCAATAATGAAAGAGATAAATATACATTTGAGAAAGAGAGAAATAAAACGATATTACTGAAGTACACTATACATATAAAAATTCGTTCAACTGTCAGTCAAATACCGTGTCAATTTTTTTGGCGGGAACTGAACATAGGGTGTGTGTGAAACTAGTTTAACTACAATGCACGTGCTTTTAGAATAGCCTGATACACATAATCGGATTTATGAAAAAGTGTATGCAGTCTGGTAACCTTTCGGTCTAGTTTTAAAATCACTTTATTGATATAACAATCTGAATATTGCTGAGAAAAGTTTCCAGTTATTGTAGCCCCAAAAACAATTTATTCTCTCCTTTCAGGCACCCTACGGAAAAAGAGTCCAACTTGTCACCAAAGCGTTTGAACTTGAGAACAGATACGTGGGAACTAAAGACACCGTGTTGCACAAAAAGTGTATCTGGGATAAACTAGATGTCCGAACTGATAATCTGTACATGGGAACAATGTAAGAAACATTTTTCATGGATAAATATAGAACTGAGTGGTATGTCTGCGGACTTACAACGCTAGAATCCGGGTTTCGATACCCGTGGTGGGCAGAGCACGGATAACCCATTTTGTACCTTTGTACT